AATCGTAAGAATGAGATTTTTGATGCTGTTTTTTTACTTTTTTCAAAGATTGATTTACGAAAAACTTGAATAACTGGGCCAAAACTATTCTGATTTAGACTTATGGGATCTCGGTAGAAAGGTATATTCACACTGTTTTTAGTTCTGTCAAAAAAAATATCATTCGAGTAGCAATTATTTTTTTTTTTTCAAATACCAACACATCTTAATTCAACTTTGAATGACGTTCGTTCATCCTACCTTTCTCTTTCATCCTTTGAATGAGTTTATTAGCAAAGAAATAAAAAGGGGGAGAAAATACCTTGCCACCGACACCTCTTAAGTCTAAATCAGAAGAGTTTAGGCTCAGTTATTCAAGTTTTTCTTATACCAATCTTTGAAAAAAGTTAAAAAACAGCATCAAAAATCTCATTACGATTCCGTTCAAATTTTTTTTAAATTTTTTTTTTAATATTTTTATGCAAATTTTTTAAGCTTAACCCGTTTTGTCATTTGAGGGAATTTTTTCAAAAATAAAATTTAAGAAACTGTTTTTATTCATAAAAAGCTCCATTTTTGGAGGTATTTTGAAATTGGTCCAGCGCACTTAAATCTTAATATTTTTTCTAAATATTTTGGTGGACTTCTTAAAATATAATAGATTTTATAATTCCAATGGAAAAATAGTACCGATTTTTTTTTGTATGGGGAGTGATGCAGTCTAATGTACATATGCATGTATTAACACCCCCAAAATAGTTTCCTACTTTTCCAAAGTTGAAGGTGTGTGGGCCGGCCTCTATTCTTTGTTTAGGTAAATTTCCCTATATCTACATATAAATATGCATACATACATATGTGCATATGTCCTTGAACCACAATCCACAAAAACATTTTTTCACCAAGGATTATATTTCGTTCAGGTATACAGCATAACTGCTACAAGTACCAAGCTATTTTGGGGTGTTAAAAAGTGCTTAGTTATTTTTTGTTTCTGCGGCACAAACGATTATACTATCCACTTTATTTATTTTTCTCTGTAAAGAAAAAAAACCATGCATATATACTCAAAATTTGGCATTTTTGAGAGTATGCGCTAAAAATGTACGCAGAGCTTTTATTTAACTTTCAGCAAAAGCTGGACCAAATTTTTGTTATAATTTGTTAAAACAACCTAAGGTAAAGTGGGCCTTGTCCATATGATTGACATGTGCTAAGAAATGGTTTTTCGCATTTTCTGACAAACGTAATATTTTGAGTTGTGACTCTTTTGAAGACGGTGTGCGATATGTGCATTAGGGTGGAGAGAAAAAAATAAAAATTCCTATTTTCGAAACAGGCGAGTGCGGAAAAATTGTGGACCGACGTATCTAAGAACATATTAAAATTTCAGCCCGATCGAATAATATCTTCTGCCACCAAAAACTCCTGAAAAAGTGAAATTTTAACGAAAAATTGCATTTTTTGCTAAAAAATCTTAAATGTTAATGAAACTTATAATATATACATATGTATAAGCAATTTTTATGTTAAACAATGTGTTTCGCGAATAAAAACACATTTGTAGATCGTAACACACGTGCCTGGTAAGAGTGGAACAACAAGACAAGCAACAGTGGAGCAACATACAGGAGAATATTCGGAGAACGACAGTCTGTTTTGGTAAAGATATTCACGATTACAATTTGTTGTCTATTCAGAAAGACTAGCACTATTCCTACGCCACTTAAACTCATCCTTCCCACTCCTTGCTGCCCCTTCCCCACTCCCAGTCCTTGCTGCCATGCCGCGGCGCCGGTCCGGCGGCTTCATTCGTTGCGTGCATTGGTTCTGTTGAGACACGTCGTAACCTGTCGGGGCAAAGCTAGAGCACGACGCTTTCTGTAGGGTAGCGGGTGGCATCCTTTTTCGTTTGTGATATTCGCTGCCTTTACGGAGTTTAGCGGCTATTGTTGTTCTTTTATGTAATAGTCTTTTTGTTAGACCACGTTGTCTTCCTTGTGTATTATGTCTCACTTTTTTATACTGGCGCTTCTGTCATATTCTTGTTGCTGTATTTTCCTCTTTCATACTTGTGTTCAATCTGGTGTTGCTAACTGGTGTAATTTGATTCGCTTCTCTGCATTTATTCATAGTAGCAATGGCTACTTCGTCGAAGTTTAAAAGTCGTTCGACGTTCAACTGCCCTCCGTTTGGTGGTCCCAAAGAACTGTCTTCTTTTGAACTTCCCACGTATGAAGATGTTATCAAAGACTGTGCTTCCGAAGAGGGAAACAAAGAACCCTTGTTTTCGGACATTTCTGAGAACATAGCCAAGGAGATTATTTCCTTGTACGAAAAAGCATCAATACCACATGTTACGCATAAAAGAGTTCTTTAAAGGTTAAAGGCATATCATGAAAAATCATGAAGTCACATAGCAAACTTCAAAGCTGCAATAAAGCTGCCAAAACTATTGAAAGTTTTAAATTACATGCGCAAACAAGCCATTTCGACATATGCACTTGCAAAGAGAGAAAAGTTCTACAGAGAGAATCCGCGTTTCTTATTAATCAGAGAACAGTCCGAAAAATGGTCATCGGTACTCTTGACAAAGAAGCAACCGCTGTTCTTCAACAGAGGGAGGCTAGGAAAGCACAGGAAGCTGCCCGACCTCTAAAGTTGCCACATTGTACTTCCAGAGCCCGGGAAGTAGATTTGCCAGCCGATGAGAATAGCAATCATGGTAGTATTGAGTGTCTGACCAAGAGTGATACTAACAATGATGATTACTCCCCATCGACTTCAAAAGGGCAGCAACTTTCTTCCTCTTAAATCGTTTAGTTATGTATTTCTAAAACAGCTCTAGTCAGCGATAGGTACGGCTTGTCGGACAGATCCGTCGCTGCCATAGCCTCAGCTGCCTTGCAGGATGTTGGTTTGGTCTCCGAGAATAATTCTATAAACGTCATTGATAGAAATAAGGTTAGGCGGGAGCGTATAAGGGTGAGGAGAGAAATGAGAGAGATCTCTGCTGAGAGCATTGAAACGACTTTGTTGGGGTTGTATTTTGACGGTCGCAAAAACAAAACCCTTATCTTAGTAGAAGAGGGAAATATTCAATACCGCAGATGTGTCCAAGAGGAACATATTACTATTGTAAGAGAGCCAGGATCATTATACTGGTGCCATATTACTCCTACTTTAAGCAAAGCAGCCCCAATCTCCACGGGTCTGGTTGAATTTCTCGAGGCTAAGACCGACAACATAGACATTGACAACATTTCAGCCATAGGTGCAGACGGAACTAATACAAATACAGGACACGTGGAAGGAGTTATTCGTCTTATTGAGGAAAGCTAAACCACCCATTGCAGTGCCTGATTTTCCTTCTTCATTGCAACGAATTACCTCTTAGACACCTATTTCAGTTACTTGATGGCGAGAGTAGCGAGAGAGATGGCGAGGCCCATCGGCCAGCACTTACCAAAGTGCACTTCTTTACCCTTAGTTGAATTCCGACCAATCTCCTCAAACGTTTAAAACTTAAATTTAACTGATCTCAGTGCCGATCAGGTATTACCTGGACAAGATCCGTGCCATCGAAATTGGAGTTTAAGACCAGAGGAAAGTTGTTGATAGCGTGATTCAAACAAACGGCTATTTTTACCACCCAGAAAACTTGCTACTTGCGATGATCTCTGACGAGAGGCCCATGTCGGGGAGCTTGCAAAACGTCGCATTTTAAAATACAGAATATCTGAAATACAAGATGGGACCATTACTATTAGGCCTAGGTCTTTTAGAGTTCCTAAGATTTATTTTGATGCATCTGATTACATTGATCTGATATCTTGTAGTGGGACCTCCATCACTGACCCGCTTCTGTAGGCAGACATGCCGATAGATTATTTGATAGACATAGTGACAACCGGCTCAGTCGCTAAATATCTTTACCCCCTGCTTCCATGCCACGCGCAAGCTGTGGAAAGATACGTCCAGGTTGTCCCGGATGCAGCCACTCATGTCTGTGGGGAGGAACAGCGACATGGTTTAACACTAGCGAAATTGACTTCGCGGTCTCAAATGCAGATTTGGAATACAAAAAACCAATACAGGTTCTAAACAGGATATTCATGAGTACTTGTGTATGTGATTACAATGCCATTCAACGGCATTTAAATTTCACTGTTTTGAGAATCCGTGTTAACAATTGTTAACTCACAGTATGCTAATGGGTGGTAGATTGGGTACATGGTGTGGGAGTAACTCGGAGTACAGCCACCTTCACGTGGTGAGTTCTGAGTCACTGAATCTTCGAATGCTGTGAGCCGAGAGCTGTACAAATGTAATACTGGAAATGACTAATGAAAATGGTAAAGTCCTTTCTTAACTTATAATATGGTCTCATTTGGGCTGGGCAACTCATTAAATACAGCATACTAAACTTGTCCTAACATAATATACAGGTAGTTTAACCACGAAAAACATTGTTTAGGATAAAAATGTACTTATACATATAGTTTATAAGTTTCATTAACACTTAACATTTTTTAGCAACAAATGCAATTTTTCTTTAAAATTTCACATTTTTCAAGAGTTTTCGGAGGCAGAAGATATTATTCGATCGGGCTGAAATTTAATATGTTCTTAGGTACCACAACTTTTCCGCACTCGGCTGTTTCGAAAAGAGGAATTTTTATTTTTTCGCTCCACCCTAATGTACATACATACGTACATATATAAATAGGCATGTTATGTATGTACATATTTATGTATACAACTTTAAAAAAGACGATGAAAAGATGTACTAAATAATCTATGCTTTGAATGTTATACTATTGTTTGTGATAACGCTAGTTAAAATTATAAACGAATATCAAGTTTACATATGAAAATACTTATAACCTAAAGGCTATTATAACTGCTTACAGCAAAAAGTTTTACCCTTCTTTCATTGATGGAAAATGAAGAAAATCATATTGCACATATAATTCTTTTACTGGGGTACAATCACATCTAACTCTATGACAGATACTTACATTTGCCTCCGGAAATGTGTCGTAACGGTATGCCTTTCGCCCGCAGCACGGATACCGACCTATAGGACCAGTAACGAAGTCTTCCGTGTTCGAGTCAATGTAATTGGGGCTTAAAGGGTGAAAGCGACACCATGCCATCTAAAAATATGCATATCTCTTAAACATAATTAGGTATATCACCAATAAGCCTTCACCTTATAGACTGGAAAATGTATTTCACATATGCAGCAATATAAAAAATGACAATGGCCCCATAGTTTCCAATACACATGACGCCATGAGCGACGTTCCTTAAAAACCTGGGCAATGTAATTATCCATGTTCCAAAACATATCTCGCATATGATAACCAGTGAGTTGACCCCACCGAGATAAACGTGTATTATTTGGTTGACAAGATATGTATGACTTCATTGTATTTGTAAGATGTTCGCCACACCTAGTTAAAGAATGAACTGAGTCTAAATTCTATTATCTGTAATAAAAACACCTCACTTTGAACAACGAAACAAGCCAGCCAAACTGTAGAAATGTCCCCGTAGTGCTTCTGGTTCTGGTTCACAAAGGCTTTGAATTAGTTTTATCCAAAGACGTGGTGCTAGACGCTCTTTTTTGTCACGTACCAATTCCAGTTCTAAATTAGTAAACATAGCTGCTAGGCGTGTAATTATGGAGTCGTTTAAGCATGAAAGATTTATGGAGCAACGTACAACATCACAAAGCCGGGCATGGCAAAACGATAAGCAATCAATCATTAGCGGTTCCATCTTAAAATGAAAGAGGAAATGATAAATAAGATACGAATTAATGAGACAATACTTCCAAAGAATAAAATTAGAGTTTTGAACGGACTGTGATAGTTTTTCAGACACAAGTTTGAGATCCTCTTAAAAAATAATAAAACAATTTGCATACACATAATAACAAGGGCTATATCTGCCAATATTTTTGTGAAGGATGTGTTCACGTGAAATAAAATATACATGAGTTGATAAAATATGCTCTAATTGGCGACCTTCTACTCTAATACAAGCTCGGCACCTCTTAAGAAAAGCGCTTTTTGTGGTCTTAAACTCAATTGGGCTATCTAAGCAGCAGCTCCTTTTATTTGTTCTCGCGAATGCTCTTCGTTTAGAATCGTTTTTGAATATTTTTTGTCCTTAAGGCAGCCCCAGTAGAAAAAATTTAATGGATTCAGGTCTGGCGATAGAGAGGGCTTCGTGATTTAACCGGATCGTTCAATACATCGGCGAGGATATGATTCGTCTAAATAAGGAGAAAAGCGCTGGATTAACCCGGAATGTTTTAAACAACACATATAAGGAAGGAGCATCCTTCGCGGCGAGATCCTCAGACGAAAGTTTTGAGTTGGAGCAATCCGTTTTAGGTACTATTCAATAATACATATCTAGCCCTAACCGCCAAGAGGCATAAGCAACGAATAGTAAATTTTTCAGTAGACGTAAACAGAGTAGAATTAAGCGTTTAAGGCGATATCGCCTTCTTCATAACTTTGTAATCTATTCCTATCAAAAACAAAAATGAAAAATGTGTCGCTTACGCCCTTTTTCCGGTTAGGGCTCGATATAACAAAAAGGTTAACTTTAAGTCAAAGTAATAACTAATATATTAATTAATATAACACGCCAAGCTGTTTACATCAATCCCTTAAACGAAAAAAATCCGAGTTGACAAAAACATTGATGAACTCTTAGATGAGGAAAAAATTTTCATGCAGACTATCTGGAAATGGCTAAGAAAACGGAAGAAGCTCGCGAGAAAATCTTTAAACATAAATTGGAGTTTTTGCATAAATTTATGGAAAAAGACAAAAAAAAAACATAGGTACTAAAAGTATTCTCAGCTATGTACCTGCGTATATAGTCATGTGAAAGATAATAGGGACACGACATTTTGACCAGTTTTAGCTATTTTTGTTTGTTTAATGTCTAACATTAGTTTATAAAAGCACAACTTGTTATCTAACAAAAACCATATAAGTCGAAATTTCAAACTTTGTCGAAAAACTAGAAGAGTTTAACAACATTTTACACCAGAAACTTTTAATTTGGAATTTTTAGAAAAATTTTAAGTTTGCAGTTTTATAGCTCAATAACGAGCCCTAACCGCCAAAATAACGTAAGCGACACTTTTTTCAAAATTTTCTTTTTGATGCACAAAATTCCTAGAGCATCTAGATGCATTTCTGCATCAAAAAGAAAATTTTGAAAAAAAAATGTCGCTTACGTTATTTTGGCGGTTAGGGCTCGATAAATTCTAGAAAGTGAAAGTTTCATATGGCTAAGAAATCCTGTTGAATTTTGGATAATTTCTTTGTGGATGATGTTTTCCATATAAAAGAACTTGTTAAACATACTTTGTGGAAAAAAATACGTCGGCAGGAAAAATTATTTTTTATTTAAAAATTTCGAGTTACATAAGGAGCTGTGTTTTTATAAAATAGTAATAAACATAAAACAAACAAACGAAAAATAGGTAAAACTGGTCAAAATGTCATGTCCCTATTATTTTTCACATGTGTTGTGTGTCTACAAATAATTAGTAAGTAACTGCCATCCCTAAATTGGCGCGTCAAGCGCCAAGCAACTGTCAAAAATCCTCATGCCCATACAATTTGTATGAAGCATCCCACAATAACGCGGCGCTAACGCCGAGCAAATGGAATTTTCATTTTTGACAGGGCGTTACGTGCTGAAGTTGGATGCAGAAGACGAAGAGAAAGAGAACGGACAAAGAAGTGAAAAAGGAAACGAGAATAAAAACGAGAGGACCTGAGAAAACGTCAAAATTGACGACGCGTTGATTTGGGTATAGCGCGCGATGACACTCGTTGACAATGCATAACGCAACGCTTAGCGCTCCAATTTAGGGACGCCAGTAAGGTCAGTAATGTAAACACACATGTGACTGCAATATTATATAATAAGAATGTAAGCAAAAAAGAGTTATGACTCATATATATGTCACAAATTGGGCAAAGCGTTAGCG